AGTAATACTCTTAGTAATCCATTCTCTTTACCTTTGAAACAAGTATAGGAACTATCAAAAAGTTGTGTCAAAATCAGGACATTGTGAAATACATTTTCATTGGCTCAAGTGAAAAATGCAATATAATTACCATTATTGAGGTCAGTGACTTTCATTCACACCGTCCAACTAAAAGCCTCCTTTAAGTCTGGTCACATGTCAGAATTTAAAAATGGAAAATTGGATATAATATAAGTGAAGAAATCAAGAAAGTTTATATTTTCTCCCAGTTCCCTTAATATACATAAGGCAGCTGGTTGTGGAACACTCAAAGCGGAAGGTTCTTGTGTGTCAGTCATAAGACTGCCATTCAGTAAACAGAATGAGGAGAAAACAGAAAAAGGAGACGGGTCTGTAAAAGCCTGCAGCATTTTAAAATCGCTGCCTCTACATTTAACTGTAATGCCTATGTTCTGTTTACTTTTTAATGAATTTATGCTGTTGGTGAATTATTGAAGTGATTTCCACTCACCTTTTTATGTATTTTCTTTCCTGTTGTGTTCTCACCTTGTCGTGTCTGGAAAATCCATCAGGCTAACTGTCAGGTAGGTTCTTCTTGATGTTCACTGTGATTATTAGGGGAGTATCCGTAGCGGGAAATGAAGTAAACAGACTGTTGGTGACCTGTGATGGATGATAAAACCAAACAGAAAAGGCGTCTGCTAAATTCCAGAGAAACTTTGCAGATGCACACACCTGGGGAAGCTAGAAACTCAAAGCACGTGAAGCCAATGTGAACATCTATCATAAGCACTTAGCCTAAGGGACTAGAGCAGCGCTAAATGATAAAGTAGGTTACCTGGGCTGTCCCATTTTGCTGTCGCTCAAAGTACAGACTGCTCCTGGGGGCTTAGTTGTCACAGAGCAGCTTTATATTCTTGGTGGTCACAAGTGATTCTGCTGTGAATATGCTAGCAGCTTTCCCAGCTTTGGCCAGGCTCAAGAAAAATTCACAATGATCTATTTTAAATCCCTATTTTAAGTACGTATTCAGACATACGTTGTGCCTTGAAGAAAGAGAGGGACTAGGAAAAAAGGAAGCGTGGTGGCATATATTTTGTTAATGCGAAGCTCACCCTCGGAGTTAAATCTGACATGGTTTAACTCTAGTCAAAAGAAGCGTCGCTTGAAATTGCAGTAGGAGACAGAGCTGTTCGTTTCTCCCTTTGGCATCAGGGGGAAGGAGGATTCCTTCAACAAGCTCTTTTTAGATCCTCAAGTGCAAGACAGATACTTTATAAGCCCAAATCATAGCTAAGCCCAGGAGAAGAGAGATACATTTAAATCAGAGCATGTTTGGTGTGTGTGTGTGTGTGTGTGTTGTTCACTTGAACTCATTTTTATCTTTCAAGAGGAAAAATTATGTGCTTCAGTTGCCATGCAACACAAACCGCTCTAACAGCTTTCTAATTTTAATTTCAGAAGTCCACAGAGCAAATGAAGAAGGTCCCTACTATTATTCTTTCAGTCTCTTATAAAGGAGTCAAATTTATTGATGCAACAAATAAGGTAGGTATCACGCGTCTTGGTGGTTTAGACATCAGATACAGTCCTAAGTACATGATGTAACATCCTTTGCTTCCCGTCATGCCCAGCATCCCCCATTTTAATCATTCCCTAGCCCCCAACTTCATGCTCCCTACCCACAACAGCAGACACACACACACACACACACACACACACACACACACACGTATACAGAAGGGCACATTTCATCTGGGGGACTTGATCTGGGATTCTTATACATATTTTGCTTTCACTTGTCCATGGTGCCTTCTCTAATAGACTGTGGCCACTTATTACCTGGCATGTTTCTTTGGATCCAGAGAACATTAAAACAGAAAAAAAATATATTATTTATAGAATGAAAATGCAGCAATGTTCTCATTCTTCCATCAGAGGAAATGTTACCAGGTGAAGGGCTAGAACCTTTGTCTTTCCATTTCTCTAGAGACATATGTGTCCTTCCTTTTCGTACATGTAATGAATACCTGACACAAGGAACACATCCTCTGACTTTGATATTTTATAATTGTATTTCATTCTCAACTACTGAGATGGAAGAGAGTGTTTCAACTATATTTACAATTTTCTGAAGAAACAGAATCAGAAAAGGAGCCCAGGCCATTCTGGGACTCTGCTGGGATTTTTGTATTCACAGTGGGAAGAGTTTGGGGGCCCTGGCGTCAAGTGTGGACAACTGGGTGGCTTTTTACTTAAATAGTGTCCTAGAGTTCTTTTCTCGGTGAAGATTTGAGTGCTGGGGCTAGACTAGAAAGCTTGAATGTGACCACTCTTGCTCTCCAGGAACTCAAAGCTGACTGGCTCCTCCTCACAAAAACCTCCAATGTCCCTGTGTTTTATTTCTACATCCTTCCAACTGATAAAGTGTGGAAGGAGGGAAAATGAGGCAATCCCTATTGGTGGATACCATTTGTTTTCTGGACCCACCTGACCTCCCACCTGGACCTACTCCAGCAGAAAGTCATGAGACAGGTGAACTTAAACAATGGCATCTCTGGGCCAGGGCAGCTGGATTCAGATACTGGGGGACGGACCATGGGCAGTGACCCTTAAGTCAGAAATCTGAGCATCTGACTCAATCAATTCGAAGTTTTCTTGATTTTTTTCTGTAACGAAGGAGGTTGCAGCATTAACCATCAGATATGCCCATGCTCCCCAAATCTACTTAGGAAAACACCCTCCCAGTTTTGGAAACAGTTCTGAAAAACAAGCAGGATGCCTATAACCCAGCACGATCACGCTGGCTGACAGTTTCCAAAGCACCTCGGAGTCAGATGCCTGCAATGTCTTGGTAACAGCTGTTGTTGTCAGATTACAGTTGTGGAGACTTCATCTGAAAAATCCCAATTGATTTGCTTTTTTTTTTATTTCTTGGAAGCATCTTTACTGGTGCATAAACTTACATTATCCTTAGATTATAGTCAGTTGTTTTTAAAAGTTTCAAGACTTTATGAAACTCTCATTGAAGGTATCATTGCTATCGCTGTATCTAAATTTCAAGAAAGCCTTTGGCATTTGGATTTTTCCCTATCGGAACAACTGTCTCTACCCCCATTTGCATTTTAAAACCATGTATAACAAAATATTTTCAGTGTTATGAATTTAACAACCCTCTGAGATTAACAACCTTAGCAGGCTTCAATTCTGACAATTTCTAAATGAGAGGTATTTGCCCTGAGAAGTTCCCAGAGTCTAAAGGCTGTCATTCCATGAATCTGATGGTACAACTGGATGCGTCTGTATTAATAGCATCCTCTCTAACCTACTCGCCATGATCAGAGGAATGAGAGAGAGCTCTATCAGTTCTGTTGCATTTTGCTTATGGATATATCAAGGGACGTAGAACTCAATGTTTTGTACCTTGAGGAGACACTTCTGCTTTAATTGCCAATAACTAGATGAGTTACCCATGGATCTCTGCTTACAGATGACTACTCTTTGGAAGTATAAGCACCAAAAGATAGGCAAAAGATAGTTCTGTGTGAATAAAGACACTAAATAAAGGTCTACATATCTTTCAAGTCCTTGCATTGCGGTCCTCAGCATAGTTTTAAAATCTAGAGCAAAGGCAAAAGCGTATGTTGCTGGCAGGTGGAGCCAACCTCTCTATGGCTATGTGACAACATGTACCTGGATTTTTCAGGAATTTGGGGACAGTGACTTCAACACTAGTGAATAGACAGAGTGCTCATCCCAGTGTCCTGCAATGCAGCTGATCCATCCCAGTGTGACAATGGAGAGGGATAGAGTGGATGACTCAGGACGCTAGTCTAGTAGTTGCTGTGTGAGAAGCCGAAGGAGAGAGATTGTATTTAGGATAGAAGAAAGGCCACACGGGTGGAGTTTGACAATAAAGGGCCGAGAAACACTACCACCACTGGGGCTCAAGGACTGGTGTCAGAAGTCATGGAGGATCCACAGTTGAAGGACCAAACCTCAAGTTGTGGTGTAGAAGGAACTGTGCTCATGCATCTAGATTCTAGCACCATCTGCAATGTCATCTTTGTATGCCACTTTGTTCTATGGCAAAGTCCAACCTCCAATTAATACCCACAGCAGGAGGGAGCAGATTGATAAATTCCAGAGTCCTGCTGTCAGTGTGTACCAGAGATTTCTCCCTGAGGAATGGTTGTCTTGGTATCCACTTTGATTTGAAGGCAAGGACGTGGGACATGTAGACATACCTGAAGACTAAACCCATAATAAGGCACAACCAAAAGTCACACCATCACATTCATATTTGATAATTCCACTGTATTTTATTCTTAAACAGTCCCCTCCTAACTATCACATGTCTTTAACCGTGCCCTGGTACTGCAGAGGGGGGTGTTCCACCTGCACTGGACAGGTAGTCAGGGAAAACCTCAGACCCTTCCCTGAGGGACCGCCCTGCAGTCATACAGCCAGCTGGTCATGGAGGACCACAACTTGACTTTCCCACCCCCTAGACTAACCCTTTTTTTTCTTACTCCATGGCTCCTTTCCACCAATTAGTTTGAAGAACAGTGGATAATTGATTATGTGTTAATTACTCTTCCATTCCTCTTAGCCCTCATTAGACTGTGTGAAAGATAGACCCTCTCGCAAAGCAATGCTTCCTTTTTTGCTCTAATAAATAAGTGTCTTTGGCTGAGTTCAAGGGAAAGGGTTAGGTGCCTAGTTATAAACTCAAATTTATCGCCTAGCAACTTAGGAAATGAATCACTAATCCTGATTCAAGAAGGAAGAAGTGGAAAATGGTTTTGAATTAAAAGTGGAAATTGGAATCAATTTAGTACTAAAATGTTGTAGCTAAAGCACGTCAGCTTTCTGTAGATCCGTAACCCAGAGGCAGCTGTAGCGTGGCATTCGGCCCAGAGGACTACAACTGTTTAGTTAGAGGCCCATCTTCAGGTCAGCAGGGTTTTCCTGAGGTGACATAGACCCCACATCCTGCACGGGGCTGAGGGTGGGTGGCATTTTGCCTCCCTGCTCCAACCCCGTCCTCAGTCCTCCCACCTGGCTAAATTAGGAATGGTCATTGTCCAGGTTGGTTTTCTGTTGACCTGTTTTGAATGTCAGCATCAGTCAGGGATTATGCTATTTATTGGGGCACAGAATAATTGAGAACATTTGCCTAAACACATGCCTGTTGGTTTTTTTATAGCACATCCTTCTCCTTCTGAGAATCTTGGCGTCAAATTAAGAGCCCATTAAGCATGTGTGCTTTCTCAGCTGCATTCCCACCCTCCAGTTATCTCCAGTTGGGCTGGGGCTAGGGCTTCTGCCTCTGTTTGGGAGGCCCTCTCCAGAGGGGCATTCTCTCACTCAGAAAAGGCCTGGCCTGAGGCAGAGTCTGAAGAGAAATCCCTACCTGTCAGGGCCCAGAAAGGAAAGCAGGGAGAGGCTGATTTCTAGGCTCCGTCACTTCATTATCACACATCCTTCTTAGAACCTATTAATTGGCTGCACCAAAAATTCTACTCTACACCTGCCAGCCAGACACCTCTTTAAGCTGTTTCTCAACATGAAGAAAGGCAACAGATGGAAAAACAATATCTCCCTGTTGAAGGGAATTGTGCTGCCAAACTTTCTATCCCAAAGAAGGGGCCTGGTGAACCCCTCCCCAGTCCTTCCCTTGAGCCTTTTAAAAGCTCTAGTCTCCCTAGAACATGCTTAGATGTAGAGGTTGGGAAATATAAGAGGAGTTAATTTTGAACGAAAGTACATCACCTGTCCCTCAGGATGAGACATCAGAGTAATGGCACTGTTTCAGTGGTGAGAGCCCAGGTCCACCACATTCTAGCACCACAGACATATCAGAAAGTTCTGTTCAAACATACCTCCCTACACAGACCCTCAATATGCATTCATTCAACAGCATATTATTTAAGTGCTGGTTGAGAGGATAAAATATCAAATATTCTTAAGTATAGAATATTTGTATTGTAATATTTGTTTAGACCATGGGAACACAAGAATGAAAGTTTCAACAATGGAAGAGGAGGCTAATATTAGGACGTGCAGCAGCACAGAGCAGGGTAGCCTGGATGGGCAGTTCAAAGACAGCCCTGGGCTCCTAGGGAATGGAGAAGTGGCAGGGGCGGGTCCAGAAAATTGGGTGAGGGTCAGTAAAGACAGTAAAAATGTCTTAGTTCATTTGGCCTGCTGTAACAAATTATCATAGACTGAGTAGCTTAAACAATAAACATTTATTTCTCACAGTTCTACAGGCTGGGAAGTCCAAGAAACAGTCACCAGTAGGTCCTGTGTCTGAGGAGATCTGATTTCCTGGTTCATAGATGGCCATCTTCCTTCCGTGTTCTCACATGCCAGAGGGAGCTGGCTAGCTCAGCATACGGGCACTAATCCTACTCATGAGGGGTCCACACTCATGACCCAATCACTTCCCGAAGGCCTCACCTCCAGAACCATCACATTGGGAATTAAGATTTCTTTTTTTCTTAGTAATTTTTTTTCAATTACAGTTGACATACAATATTATA